CCCACCCGGACAGCCGGAATCGGTGCTGCTCGGCCCAATGGGAGATCAGCGTTCAGAAAAACCTCACCTCGCTAGGCCCAATGGGAGATCAGCGTTCAGAAAAACCTCACCTCGCTAGGCCCAATGGGAGATCAGCTCTTTTAGAAAGCGGCACGTCACTAGGCCCAATGGGAGATCAGCTGTCAGAAAACGCCGGGCAGGCCGGCGGCATCGCAGCTCTTCTCAAGTCGCCAGACAGCGAGCGCCCCGCCCCACCCCGCTCCCACCATGTAGCCGCTCTTCTTGCACTCGCCAGCGGGCACTAACTGGCCCCACGCTGCCTTCCAATCCAGGCACTGCCGCGCGCCTCAACCGCTCCCCCCCACTCTTCCATCCTGCAAACACGCAGAGCCGCCATCATGACAGCGCGCCTCCGATGGGGGCAATAACACCCCTCAACAGCTCATTTAAGACACACATCAGCACTCTACTGGCAAAACCTTCTAGAGACACAGTTTTAAAATAGCCCCAGTCTTGTAAAAACTCTCCCTTCGTGTGGAGTTGAAGAGCTCAGCGCTCCTTCTCCATGTCGGGCGACAGGTTTTCAGGTCAGGGTGACCAGACACCCAGTCAGGGGCAGGCTCTGCCCAGGCAGGCTCCCAATAAGCTATACTAAAAATATGGGTCCCAACCCCAAAACTTACTCAAATTTTACCCCAATGTCCCCAAACTGCCGACTTTTAATATGTATATAAGATACTGCCGCGCTCAGTCAACTCCCTTTGCTTTCCAGCAGAAGCCTGCCGCCAGAGAACAATGTTGATATTTAAATTAGCTAGTACATCGCTCAGTCAAGTCTCTCTGCTCTCCAGCAGGTGACATCAGAGAGCTCCGAGCTTTCTCACTTACCTTTCTTGTGTCAGCTTAGGCCCCAGGGTTCACAAATGCATAAATCATGCGGGATTCTAGCAGAATATCACTTACTCACTTGGGTTAGCAGTTGAGGAATGTGGTGCTGCTCTGAGGGGATGTACTTGCATACTTGGGATATTATTGCAAAGATACAATTAGAATTTCTGTTAGACAATTTTAAGGGCAATTTATATTTGGTAAAAACCTTATTTAGTGGAAGAAATGCTGTAGTGACAGCATGGTTACTGGGGCTACAAAACACTTTCCCTCTGGGTGAATAGTTTGTTCCAAATTAATTTCGCTTATGTGCAGGTTTGTTTAAGACTGACTGTTTTGGTTTATTGTTTTTGGGGTTTTTTTTTAGTTGAAGTGGAGCTTTTAATTGACGTTTGCAGGATTGGAATGTCTGACATGCAATACCAGTTTTCACATAGTTCTGCATATTTTTATACAGATTTGGCTAATATTCAGCTATTCAATTGCTTTATAGGTGGTTTTAATAGTAGGGCTTATTTATCTTGTTATTTTATCATCCTGCTGTAGCACTCTTTTTTGATACTTTATGGCATTTGTTATTTTTTGTTTTTTTTTAAACAAAATCAGCTTTTCTTAATGTTTGGGTGTTAAATTAAGCATTGGTTGCCGTTTCAAATTTTGCTTTAGATTTTTGGTTTCTGATGGGATATTTAAGAGGATTTTGGATTTAATACTAAAATTTGGACAGCTTTAGATGGACTTGGACTAAATCCTGTTTACTATTTTATTTTGATAAAAGTGATATTCCTGTAAACCCTGGCCAGGGGGGGAGAGGAGATGAGCCTCTAACTGAGGAGCAGAGTCATGGCCCCAATGCGGGTGGAGACAGGTGATGAGGGAGGCGCAGCCCCTCCATTTTTTCTCCAGCCCACCTCCCCCCCTACCCCCAGCAAATGGCAAGAGGCTGATGCCACACCTGCTGGCCACGCTGCATTACCCCAACTGGTCACTGGGTGTCACTGATGCTCCATGGGAGACCCCCAGTGCATTACACTGACAGGCCACTGGGTGTCACTGCTGCTCTAAGGGAGACATACTCTCTGCATAACCCTGACTGGCCACCAGGTGTCACTGCTGCTCCAAGAGAAACACCTTCTGTGCATTACCCTAACTGGCCACCAGGTGTCACTGCTGCTCCAAGGAGACTTACTCTCTGCATTACCCTCACAGGCCACCGGGTGTCACTGCTGCTTCATGGGAGATTCACTCTGTGCATATCCCTGACTGGCCACTGGGTGTCACTGCTGCTACAAGAGAAACATCTTCTGTGCATTACCCCAACTGGCCACCAGGTGCTGCTCCAAAGGAGACTTAAGCCTGGTCCACACTAACCCCCCATTTCGAACTAAGGTAGGCAAATTCAGCTACGTTAATAACGTAGCTGAATTAAAAGTACCTTACTTAGTTCGAACTTACCGCGGGTGCAGACGCGGCAGGCGGGCTCCCCTGTCGATGCCGCATACGCCTCTTGCCGAGCTGGAGTACCGGAGTCGACGGCGAGCACTTCCGGGATCGATCCCAGAAGATCGCTTGCTTACCGCCGGACCCGGAGGTAAGTGTAGACCTACCCATACTCTCTGCATTACCCTGACAGGCTACTGGGTGTCACTGCGGCTCCAAGGGAGATATACTCTCTGCATTATCCTCACAGGCCACCGGGTGTCACTGCTGCTTCATGGGAGATTCACTCTGTGCATTTCCCTAACTGTCCACTGGGTGTCACTGCTGCTCCAAGAGAAACACATTCTGTACCTTTCCCTGACTGGCCACTGGGTGTCACTGCTGCTTCATGGGCGATACACTCTGTGCATTTCCCTAACTGTCCACTGGGTGTCACTGCTGCTCCAAGAGAAACACATTCTGTACCTTTCCCTGACTGGCCACCGGGTGTCACTGCTGCTTCATCGGCGATACGCTCTGTGCATTTCCCTGACTGGCCACTGGGTGTCACTGCTGCGCCAAGAGAAACATCTTCTTTGCATTACCCCAACTGGCCACCAGGTGTCACTGCTGTGCCAAGGGAAACATGCTCTGTACATTTCCCTGACTGGCCATTGGGTGTCACTGCTGTGCCAAGGGAGACATACTCTCTGCATTACCCTGACTGGCCACCGGGTGTCACTGCTGTGCCAAGGGAAACATGCTCTGTGCATTACCCTGACTGGCCACCGGGTGTCACTGCTGCTTCATGGGAGATACACTCTATGCATTTCCCTGACTGGCCACTGGGTGTCACTGCTGTGCCAAGGGAAACATGCTCTGTGCATTACCCCGATTCACCACTGGGTGTCACTGCTGCTCCATGGGAACCACTCTCTGTGCATCATCCCGACTGGCCACTAGGTGTCACTGCTGGTCCAATGGAACACCTTCTGTGCTTTACCCTGAGTGACCACCATGTGTCACTATTGCTGCAACCGAAACGCTCTCTGTGCACTACCCCAGCTGGCCGCCGGGTGTCACTACTCCTCCATGGGAGAGACACACTTTTCATTAGCCAACCTGGCTAGCTCCCTGGCCGCCCAGCTCTGAACAACAGTGCCGCTACCACCAGCAGCGCAGAAGTCCTCACTTAACTATGCGCTGCCCAGAGCAGGCAGAGGGTTCAGGGTGCCCCACAGACACACCACTTCTGAAAGGTTGCCGACCCCTGAACTAGAAGTTATTTGTCCTGGTACTCACTGTAATAGTGTCTGACCAGAAACAGTGACTGGAAGCTACTTGCCCCAGTATGCTAACAGCATCCCATGGGGAACAGTGACTGGAAATAATTTACACAGGTGATCTTACCTGTGGTTCTAGGAGGTTGAATGTTACCTAAATTCCAGACCCTAGCTCCCGATCCCATGGGAAGTGTTTTGGTTTTTGGAGGTGCGGGGGAAATATGCTTTGAAACTTCAGGTCCCAGGATCCCCTTGGCCAGTGGGGATGGGGGAGGTGTGCAGAGGCTCATGAGAGGGAAATAATCTACATCTCTTTTGATTTGGGGCGGGGGGTGGTGGAAGAGGTGAGGCAGGTCTTGCAAGTAAGCTCCGGTGATTCCCTTGGGGTTTTCAAACTACAACTT